CGAGAATGAGAATGTAAACTTACTGTCATCCTGAATTCTATCACACAAAGCACTCGATTACAGCTTAGTTGATGTACATACCTATCACGATTATAAACATTTCCATTTGTGCCTATACTTTGATCACTAGGCTGAACCCAGTAATCCATCTTTACTATCAATGGGTTAGGGATGGATGAATATAACATATGAAAAAGCTATATTGTAACAACCAGTTTTAGCAGCCAATGATATAAATGGAGTTAAGTTTGAGTCTCGAAACATGCTTCCTATGATCTTCAATATTTGTCACAAGTATAAGAAAAGTTTTTTTCGCTTGTTCCTAAAAATCTTAGCTGAATTGAGTCATGAGTTATTGATTCATTTTGACAAATCCACTTTAAGTTGCAAAACAAAGAAATCAAATTTTTAGACAATTGACCCAAAAACACAATTATTTTGACTCATGCTTACTTATATCCTCAATTGTATCATATTTTGCACATTTTTAGTCCGTGAAAATACATTTCATGAAAGTTAGTAATTTTCTCTTTTATACTTTTCTTGTATATTCCCAATTTGAGAAATACCCACTACAAAAATTATTGCTCTAAGAAAGAACCATTTGAGGGTATGCTTAACCTTCAACACGTGTATTAAATGAGTCACTAATCTTGTGTTGTTTTAAATGAGTCACTAATCTTGTGTTGTTTTGTAATTGAGCTGTTTTATTGGGCCATGTATGCTGTTTGTGTGCCCTTATGGGCTTTTCATCTAATCAAAATGTCGACAAAAAAGAAAGAACCATTTGAGGGGACAAAAAAGAAAAGAGATGTTGACAGTGGGATTTGAACCCACGCCCTTTCGGACCAGAACCTTAATCTGGCGCCTTAGACCAACTCGGCCATATCAACTTTTTGTTCAAGCCAGACATTAACAGTTACAGAACCATTTGTTTTGCTTATTCCCAAGCGTAGCCGTTGAAGTTCGTCGAAGGAAAGCAGGTGAATTTCACGGATATATTTTCACAATCGAAGTTCGTCGATTTGTAATTGATTTTCTCCTGTTGGTTTTCTGGGTTTTCTCCTTTGGAATTGAGAAAGAATCATATGCTTTTCGATTTCTAGTCTCTTCAACTTTTCCTTTCTTTCTCAGGTTATTCTAGGGTTCTTTGATGTGTCTTTGTGAAACGAAATCGTCATATGAAAGTTTTCGAATTTTGAGGGATTTTAATAGGTATCTTCATTAGATTACAGATTCTCGTAATGGGTCCTTCTCTGCTTCCGAAACATGTAATTGCAGTTATAAAATGTCAGAGAGATCCAATGAAAGCTCTAGAAATGTTCAATTCGATGAAAAAAGAAGATGGTTTCAAGCATACTTTATCTACTTACCGTAGTGTGATCGAAAAGCTTGGCTTTCATGGAAAATTTGATGTTATGGAACAGGTATTAGTGGATATGCGGCAAAATGTTTGTAACCATATGCTTGAAGGGGTTTATGTTGGGGTAATGAAGAATTACGGTAAGAAAGGGAAAGTTCAAGAATCTGTAAATGTGTTTGAAAGGATGGATTTTTATGATTGTGAGCCCACGGTTTTCTCTTATAATGCTATTATGAGTATATTGGTTGATAGTGGATACTTTGATCAAGCTCACAAGGTGTATATGAGAATGCGAGACAGGGGAATTACGCCTGATGTGTACTCGTTTACGATTAGGATGAAGTCGTTTTGCAAGACAAGTCGGCCTCACGCTGCTTTGAGGCTTCTAAACAATATGACTTCTCAAGGATGTGAGATGAATGTGGTTGCTTATTGTACGGTGGTTGGTGGGTTTTATGAGGAGAATTTTAAGGTAGAGGCATATGAGTTGTTTGGGAAGATGCTTGAATCGGGTGTTTCTCTTTGCATTAGCACGTTTAATAAGCTTCTACATGTTCTTTGCAAGAAAGGAGATGTCGAGGAGTGTGAGAAACTACTGGATAAAGTTATCAAAAGAGGCGTTTTACCGAATCTGTTTACTTATAACTTTTTCATTCTTGGGCTTTGTCAGAAAGGTGAGCTTGATGCTGCTGTCCGTATGGTAGGTTGTCTCATGGAGCTTGGACCAAAACCTGATGTCGTCACGTATAACAATCTAATATGTGGCTTATGTAAGAGTTCCAAGTTTCAGGATGCGGAGTTTTACTTTGGAAAAATGGTGAATGAAGGGCTTGAGCCTGATAGTTTTACCTATAACACACTAATATCTGGATATTGCAAAGGTGGAATGGTGCAGCTTGCAGAAAGGATTCTAGGTGATGCTGTTTTCAATGGGTTCGTGCCTGACGAGTTTACATATCGCTCCTTAATTGACGGATTGTGCCACGAAGGTGAAACAAACCGTGCTTTAGCTTTATTTAATGAGGCCTTAGGGAAAGGAATAAAGCCTAACGTGATTCTTTACAACACACTGATCAAAGGATTGTCTAAGCAGGGTTTAATTCTGGAGGCTGCTCAGTTTGCTAGTGAAATGTCTGAAAAGGGATTGATTCCCGAGGTACAGACTTTTAACATACTCGTAAATGGGTTATGCAAGATGGGATGTGTTTCTGATGCTGATGGTCTTGTTAAAGTTATGATCTCCAAAGGTTACTTTCCTGACATATTTACTTTCAACATTTTGATTCATGGTTATTGTACACAGTTGAAAATGGAAAACGCACTTCGGATCCTCGATGTTATGTTGGACAATGGCGTCGATCCTGATGTGTACACTTACAACTCTTTGTTGAATGGTCTCTGCAAAACTTCAAAGTATGAAGATGTGATGGAAACATATAAAACAATGGTGGAGAAAAGTTGTGCTCCAAACTTATTCACATTTAACATACTTCTGGAGAGTCTATGCAGATACAAAAAACTAGATGAAGCCTTGGGGTTGCTGGAGGAAATGAAAAATAAAAATGTGAATCCAGATGCAGTTACATTTGGAACATTGATCGACGGGTTCTGCAAAAACGGAGACTTGGATGGAGCATACAAGCTATTCCGGAAGATGGAAGAGGTTTATAAGGTTTCAAGTTCAGTGCCAACATATAATATCATCATTCATGCTTTCACTGAGAAGCTAAATGTTACTATGGCAGAAAAGCTTTTCCAAGAGCTGGTTGATCGTTGTCTTGTTCCTGATGGATACACATACCGGCTTATGGTTGATGGTTTTTGCAAAACAGGAAATGTCGATTTGGGATACAAGTTTCTACTGAAGATGATGGAGAGTGGGTTTATTCCATCGCTCACAACGGTTGGACGTGTAGTAAACTGTCTTTGTGTGGAGGATAGAGTTTATGAGGCTGCTGGTATTATCCATGAGATGGTCCAGAAAGGCCTGGTCCCTGAGTCTGTGAACACCATTTTTGATGTTGACAAAAAGGAGGTGGCTGCTCCTAAGCTTGTCTTGGAGGATCTGTTGAAGAAGAGCTGTATTACGTATTATGCTTATGAACTTCTGTTTGATGGCCTGAGAGATAAAAGGCTACGCAACAAAAAGGGTTTAACAGTGGTAGCCATGTGAATCTGATGGAGTGGCTTACCTCAGATCTGGTTGTCTAAAGAACTGCTCTAGTTTGTGCGATCGCAGGACTTGCAGAGCAATTCTTGGAGAAGATGTTAACTCAAATACTGGTCTGAGAAGCTAAGTCCCCACGGATTGAATTCACATTTACATTATGGGCTAAAAGTCTCCGCCCGGTGAGCTTTCATCCAAGAGACGAACATGATATTGAGTGATGCAGCGTTCAGTTTTTGTTCCGTTGCAGCACTCAGCTCCTGAAAAGTCAAAGAAAGAAGTTTCTCTGCTTTGATTTCATTTCCTCTTTCCCTTTTTGGTGGCTTCAAAATAGAATCGAACAAAGGCGAAAATCATTTCAACTTCACATCCAATCAGAAATTTTGTTGGCAACAGTGTGAAAGAAGCCATAGTTGAGGAACACCTAACCAATGTGTATGAGCTGCACGAGGTATGTAGCTGTAGAAATTTCTGAGTACTACACCCTTTTTCTTATGTGTGGTTAGTTAGTTTACAATCTCTGTGAAGTAGATCTTACAATGATCGAGTCATATCTTGATTAGAAATGTTATCATTGCAGTTCCAACTTTAATTCTAACAACAAAGCTTATAAAATGGCTATAGAAAACATGGAGAGACCGAAATTTATTTATTTAGTTTCATTATCATACATTAGTAGCAACCGTAAATTTCATAAATAATTGTCTCAGGGAATTATTCCTTACTTTCAATCGGTTACCTAAGTCTTATTCTGTATCTTTTGAGACATTAAATTCACATGATTCATCACCAGACCAACATCTTGATCTAATTACGCATTTGCAGCCTGCTGGAGATGCTTTTGTCTATAACTCTGGAGAAGGTTCACCAACCTATCACGAGGAAGTTCGACATCTTTCATCACAGGCAACTCTTGCAGGCGCTCTATCCAGTTGTATAAAGTCGGAGTGTTCGCTGGATCGACTATTTCTACTCCAATCGCTTCATGATAAACTTTGTGGGCTCCAAAAGTAGCAATGATGATGATCTCCAAAAGTCCTACATCGTCATTCTCTCTGATGATTTTATTTGGGAAATGCTTCTTTAGTCCATCTTCAAGAACTTTGAGTCTCTCTCGAGCCTCTTCTACAGACTTTGCTTGAGCTTCACCCTCTTGGAAAATGACTCGACTCATGACCTCAAACACCTGCAACAAGAAACAGTCATTAGTACGTTAATCATATCGACGTAAATTCTGCTGAGAGGTCTGGGAAAAAACCTGCTGGTTGATGTAGCTGACCCAGAACCGGACCTGGGCCCTTTCGTACGGATCCTCTGGGAGGAGACGAGGGGATTTCTGCCACGTTTCATCGATATATTCAAGGATAACTAGTGATTCAGCCACTGGCTTAACATCATGGACAAGAACAGGAATCTTCTTGTGAACCGGGTTGAGTTGAATCAGAGATTCGGTCTTGTTCTTTAAATCTTCTTCGACATACTCGTAGAGTATACCTTTGAGTTTAAGGGCGATTTCAACTCTCTTCGAGTATGTGCTTGCCCACGTCCCATGTAATGTCACTTTGCTCTTCTCGTCCATTCTCTCAAACTCTGTTATCTTTTTAGGGCTTATGATTTGTGCTTGTGTTTAAACTCTTATAGAGTTTAAGACAAGAGTTTCTAGTTTGGATCTTGTCTTGTTCATCAAGCCTATAGTGGGCATTATTTTATCTTTCGTTCAAAGTTCGGACTTTAAGGATTTGTTTACTTCATAAATATCACTTTTATCTTAAAGAATGATGAGCCATGAGTTTAATATTGAGTTATCTTGGACTGTATTTGCTACCCAAGCAGTCATAAACGACTTTTGGACCAACTTTTGACTCTGCAATCGTCTAGTGATATGATTGATATCTACTCACAAAACAAAAACCAATAACAAAAGATATGTTCTGAGAACTGTCCAAGAGCCTCTGATCATTCAAACGAAAAGGCTGTCTCCTACAATGCAAGCAATCTCAACTTCAATCTCCAATTACTTTTGAGTTGTTCCTTCACTGATTTGTCAGAACTTGGGGCAGGACTTCTACATCCATGTCTGAACATTCTGGATTTTCCCCAAACACAGGACAAAAATGAACATTGCAGCTTCAAATGCATCACCAAGGCTTTAACATCAGACAGAACTCCTCCCTGGTTCCTTCTGTAGACCTATTCCTTTCATCAGCTTTCGAGTTTCCTCTACTTCGTCCCACTCACCAACCTCTGCAAGGATATTCGAGAGTGAAATATAAGCTCCAGCGTCTGATGGCTTTAGCTCTATAGCCTTTTTTGCAGCTAGCTTCCCGAGTTCAACATCCTCGTAAAGTCTGCAAGCAGAAAGCAATGTTCCCCAGACCAAGGCGTCCGATTTAATAGGCATATTGTTGATAAAACTCTCAGCTTCTCTAAGTCTTCCTGACCTCCCCAGAGCATCGACCATGCACGCATAATGGCGGTTATCAGGTTCGATACCATAGTCTTTTACCATCGACTTGAGATGGAAATAGCCTTCTTCGACCAAACCACCATGACTACAAGCAGACAAGACTCCCAACAAAGTCACTTTATCAGGCTTGAATCCTTTTTCTTTCATAAGATTGTACATTTGTAACGCTTCATTGGCCTTTCCATGTTGAGCATAACTTGCAATCAGTGCAGTCCATGCGATCAGATCTGGGCCATTAATCTGGCTAAATGCTTTACAGCAGTCCTCAATGCTTCCAAATTTCGCATACATTGTTAATAGTGAACTACCTACAGAAGGCTCTGTGCACAATCCAATTTTTGTGATGTAGGCATGAACTTGTGCTCCCAGAGAAGATTCTTCTGAGAGAGCACCGGCTTTAAGAATGGATGAAACTGCGAATGAGTCCATGGTAAAACCAGACATGACCATATCACGAAATAGGAGGAACCCATCCTGGATAAACCCGTGTTGTGAATATCCTGAAATCAAAGATGAACATGAAACTGGATCCATTTCAGGGAGCCTATCATAGACCTTTCTAGCCAACTTTAGTGAGCCACACTTTGTATATGTATTTACGAGTGCAGAACCAAGAGGCATTCCCATGTCGATTCCAGCTCGTAACGCGTATCCATGTATTTCTTTACCTCTTGGCAGAGAAGGAAGAGAAGAACACACAGTTAGAACAGCAGCTAAAGTACTCTCATCAGGGTTAGTGCCATCAGCCAACATCTCGCCGAATAGTCCAATAGCTTCTCTTGGATAACCGTACTCATTGTAACCAGAAATCATGGAAGCCCAGCAAGCATTATCTTTAACTGGTATCTCCTGGAATAAGCTAAAAGATTCTTCCAAATTACCACACTTTGAGTACATTGTGAAAAGAGAACTTCCAACAGTGAGATCAAGGACCAACCCAGTTTTAATGGTGTAACTGTGAATCTGCTTAACTAAATTCAAAAAATCTAATACACTTAACAAATTGCATACACTAAACTCATCTGGTCTCAAACCTTCCTGAAGCATTCTAGTAAACAGTCTTATTGCTTTACCAGGCTTCTTATTTTGCGACAACGAAGAAACCATTACGTTTACTATATTTTGCATCTTAATATCGTCCAGATCCTCAAAAATCCGTTCGGAGAGATCAATATCACCACTCTTTGAGTACATACTAATCAAGGAAGCAGCCACTGAAGATTCGAGATAAAAACCACTCTTAAAGACCCAAGCATGGATCTGACTTGCTTCACAGACCATAGAAGGTCTCCCACAAGCAGCAATTACACTGGTTACAGTACAACTGTTAATATCAACACCTGAACGTCTCATTTCCTTGAATATTTCAAGAGCGGAGAAAGCATCGTTACTCTTTGTGAAACCAGACAGCATAACTGTCCAAGAGACAACGCTTGGTTTCTGGATACCATAGAATGCTTCCTTAGCTTCAGCCATATGCCCACATTTGGCATACAAATCAACAATCGCAGTACTAACAAATACATCTTCTGCTCCGCATTTAATCGCACGAGCTTGAACTGCTTTTCCAAACCTAAGCTTCTCAAGTGAAGCACAAGCAGCCAAAACACTGGAATATGTATAACTATCAGGTTTCTGAAACCCACCGCACATTTCATAGAAAAGACCAAAAACAGAACCATAATCTTGATTTCTAAGTGCCCCTGCTATGATAGTGTTCCAACAATACACATTAGCAGATAAACTCTCACGGAAAACTTTATAAGCATCCTCAAATCTGAGACTTTTTGAGAACGAATCTATTAAAGCCGATTGAACAACTTCATACAAGAAATAACCCATCTTTATTGTATGACAACACACTAGCTCACTGAACAGAGGAGCCTGAAGAGCAGTACAAGCCGAAAGCACAGAACCATAACTTATCTCATTAGCCTCAAAACCCAAAAAATGCATCTTAGAAAAAAATCTCAACGAATCTTCAAACAATCGGTTCTGTTTGTAACCAGAGATCATAATGTTACAAGAAACAACATCTGGTTGAGGAATTGTGTCGAACAACTTAGCCGCATCAACCATTGAACCCGAACTCGAGTACCAACTGAGTAACGATTTCGTAAGGAAAACATCAAACGGCAAAAGATATCGTCTAAGCAGATTTGCTTGCAGAATTCTTGTTGTTCTGAGAGTACAAAGCCTTGAATTTGTTTGATCATTGAAGAATTGAAAAGGGTTAAAAGGAATCGAAGAACTAGAATCTTTGCTCGAAATGAAAAATGAGTTTTGGGTATTGGAAAGTGAAGATAGTAATCTGTAAGCAGAAGAAAAAGGCGAGATTTTTAAAGAGTTGAAGCTCTCGTTCGCTAGACAATTCATCATCAGTTTACATTGAGCTAAAGCTTGTAAAAGAGGTAAGCAAAAAAAAAGGACAATGAAATAAATATATACTCT